AGAAGCCAGATAAGAAGACACTTGAAGACGTTTTCTCCAAACTCATCTGGGAACAGCACATTTTGCAAAGAATGGATATTGGTTCTTTGCTCGCCGCGTTGCTCCTTTGCCAAATAACTTCCAGGATTGTTAGGCCCAAGAGTCGGAATTAAGTCAGTCTGCTCCGAATCCCTTGTGCAAACCTGCCCTGAAGTCAGGGCAAAATGATTTCTGAATATCGCCAGCAAGCTAATTGAATGTGGCTGGACTGCTTTTCCGGCAGACTCTTGAGGTCAGGGAGACCTTTCTGAAGTAGGCAAAGCTATCCGGAATCCACTTTCTCCAGTCAGGGGACTGAGTCTATCCTGCGTTTTATTTTCTTTCAATTTAAACTTCAGTGGGGGGACATTTCAATCCCGCAGCAGATTGTGTAGCCTACGTAAATTCTGCAAAACTAGCAAGATCATATATTTGAGAATTCTGCAGAGCAAGGGATTCAGGTTTTGAAAATCGTGGACGAACGGGAAGGAAGAAGACGGCGGCCCCAAATCCCCAGTAGTGGGCAGTGTTCCCTCTAAGCTGAGTTAATGTGAGCTGAGTTAGAATTCACAGTTTTTAAGCCTCTGGCTCACACATTTTTGTCATAGCTCAGGAAGGATGCGCTAGGCCTCTATGCCTAGGCCTCTATGCCCTGTTGTTGGCCCTCCAGAGGAACTAGTTGGCCACTGTGTGAGACAGGATGTTGGACTAGATGGACCGCTGGTCCGATCCAGCAGGGCTCTTCTTATGTCCTTATCAGGGGAAGGCCTCGGCCTCTCTGCCCCGTAGTTGGCCCTCCAGAGGAACTGGTTGGCCATTGTGTGAGTTTGGATGCTGGACTAGATGGTCTATTGATCCAGCAGGGGTCTTCTTAGGTTCTTATGAAGGCCTCGGCCTCTCTGCCCTGTTGTTGGCCCTCCAGAGGAACTGGTTGGCCCCTGTGTGAGACGGGAGGCTGGACTCGATGGACCCTCAACTGGTCTAACCTAGTAGGGTTCTTTTTAGGTTCTTCTCAGGGGAAGGCCTCGGCCTCTATGCCCTGTTGCTGGCCCTCCAGAGGAACTGGTTGGCCACTGTGTGAGACTGGATGCTGGACTAGATGGACCCTCACTGGGCAGATCCAGCAGGGCTCTTCTTTTGTTCTTAATGGCCCGCCTCAGGAGGTCAGGAAGGCTCCAACTATTCTGGCAAACTATGCAAAACTGAATTATTCAAGAGGGCTTTTCTGCGTAGGCAGTCGAATTGCACTGTGCTAAATGATTCACAAAGTTCCTTGGATAAATCGGTAGGGACTGTGGTTTATACTACCGCGTATAGCATGCTGAAACTAGGATCCTGCTGTGTAATTTTCCGCATCATTTAATGTGTCATGTTAACACTTAACGCTTTGCTTCAGCTTTGTTTTTTAGACTCCTGCTTGGTTCTGCAACCCAAATCCTATTTCGCTGTTCATTGCATGTCCCAATCCTGTCGATTGTGTGTGACTCACTCTGCGTAATCCGCCTTGAGTCCAAGTAAGAAAGGTGGACTATGAATAATGTATATAATAAATCAGGTCATGCTGGATTTTGGTTTTACCACACCTAATCAAGCGTACCTTTGCCTTTATAAGAACTAGAGCAGGAGTCCCCAAGCCTGTGGACACCGTTGGCATTCTGCCACAAGGTGGTGGGTGGCAACCACAAAATGGCCGCCACAAGAGGCCAAGCCAACCACAAAATGGCCGCTACGGGAGGCTGAGCCAACCACAGAATGGCCGCCACAGGATGCTGAGCCAACCACAAAATGGCCACCACAGGAAGCATAGCCAACTGCAAAATGGCCACCACAGATAAAGTCAACCACAAAATGGCCACCACAGGAAGCAGAGCTAGGGTTGCCAACTTCCAGGTGGGGCCTGGTGATCTTCCACTTCAACAGCTGATCTCCAGCTGACAGAGATCAGCTCCCCTGGAGAAAATGGCTGTTTTGAAGGGTGGACTCTGTGGCATCGTACCCTGCTGAGGCCCCTCCCCAAACCCCACCCTCTCCTGGCTTCACCCACAAAGTCTCCAGGTATGGCAACCCTAGGCAGAGCCAACCACAAAATAGCAGCTACAGGAGGCAGAGCGAACCACAAAATGGCTGCCACAGGAGGCAGCAATACGCCCTGTACGCTGTGGAGTCTTGTGAGCAAAAATTCTACTTTGTGAGCTGCTGGCATTAAAGTCATGAGCAAGCAATTTGGCTGCTGCATAAATTAGTTTGCTCTGGAGCCCTCCTTCCTGAGCTGAGACAAAAATGTGTGAGACGGAGGCTAAAAAACTGTGAGCTGGCTCACACTAACTCAGCTTAGAGGGAACACTGGGAGGCAGTGCCAAGCACGGACTGTCAGGGAATGAGGTTGTACATAACTCTAATCATAACTCTTCAGCATTTCGAGCAGAAGATCTGCTTTAAAAGATGCCTTTTTTAAAAAACGGACGTAATGTTCATTTTCCTGCTTACGCACAGCTTACCTTCATTTACACGGGGAAGATCCTTGTGCTGTGGTGGCAGCCGCTGCTGGAACAACTGTTCTTTGGATCTGCACGGCCCGTCATATTTCCGGTGGCCAAGCAAGCATCTCCACTTGGCCCCACCCATTTTCTAAAAAACACTCGGTGGGTGCCGGGAAAGGTGTTGGCGCAACGGACCCCGTGGACACCACCGCACTAGAATATCACTGGGTTGTTTGTTTTTTGATAAGTTGTTAAACTAATATCAGTCCAGTCCAGTCCAATGTTCCCTCTAAGCTGTGGAGTCTTGTCAGCAACAATTCTACTTTGTGAGCTGCTGGCATTAAAGTTGTGAGCGAGCAATTTGGCTACTGCAAAAATTAGTTTGCTCTGGAGCCCTCCTTCCTGAGCTAGGACAAAAATGTGTGAGCCGGAGGCTAAAAACCTGTGAGCTAGCTCACACGAACTCAGCTTAGAGGGAACACTGGTCCAGTCCCATATTCTGTACTCTCATGGCACTGCAGAGTTCTACCTTTAGTTCAAGAAAGGTCTTGGGTCAGATCCAGCAGACCCATTCCGCGAACAGCACCACTTTCTGGCACAAGGAGGGATTCACTGACGCGAGAGTCTCTTGTTTCAGAGATAGCTTCCTTTGGGCTGAAGGATAGCGTCTTTGTTATTGGATCAGGTCCGTGGAATTCATAGACTCATAGAGTGGGAAGGGACCCCCAGGGTCATCTAGTCCAACCCCCTGCACAATGCAGGAATTTCACAAATACCTCCCCCTCCATATTCCCAGTGACCCCTGTTCCAGGCCCAGAAGATGACAAACCCCCCCCCCCCCCAGAACCTCACCCCAAATTGGACTGGGGCAAC